ACTACTAACCACCTCCTCTAGCACTGTGAAGGACATATCCTTCACGGTATCCATTACTCCAGTCACTCATAATGTTGGTCACTACTGCAGATACACACCGAATACCTCTTGCTACTACAACTTAGTACTAAGCACCCAACCCAACAAATAGATCAGAGAATCCTTCGAGTAAAAGATTCATCCCTGTAACAGTTAGACTCATACAAGAGCTGCACAGTAGGGCCAAACCCTTCCCTCTAAGGTTATTTAACCCTACTGTGAGAGGCGTAGCACTCCTCGGTCAACTAGGTGTTTCACACTACTCTCTTCTTATCATTACTCCCTCTGACTGAGAACCCTGTTATCTTTTTATCCGCCTCTCGAACAAACCGAGACCACCTTGGTCCCAACTAATCTACCGTTAACTGGGTTACCAGACTCCCACCTGCTACTACAACCAACACAATCTCTTACTTGCTCCCAACGACTTCCAAGGATAATTCGGCTATCTAAACTTCTCCATCTACTATACCACTCTGGAACTACATGTCCTGGGATCCTCGATTCCTTATCTTGACCCTATGGTCCCTACCAGGTCCTAACTGCGTTGCAATAATATCACGAGCCTCTCCCACAGGTCTCACTCGACTATATTACTGAGCAATCCTGCTCCCAAGTCTCACCTATACTGCTACTAACATACGGGTCTTGCCCACGAGTGTCACCCAACTGCATCCTGGAGTGGTCTTTACCAAGGTCTCACCTATCTAGGGCTATATAGGACAACTCCATACTAAACCTCAACGACTCAGCCTTTCATGATCCCTACCTTGCTAACTAGGAGATACGGGCCTTCACCCACACTCTGCTAACTAAACTGCTAATGAATGCTACAACTTACCCACAGTCTTACATCACTTACCTCACTGACTCATTGTTGGGGAAAGTTGTAGCTATCCTGCAGTCCTACTACACTCTCCATGCTGTCTCTAGCACTGACTACTATTCCAAGGGCATCCTGACTCACCCGAGTCCTGCTAGCGATCCTTCAACTCGATTTCCGAAACCCACCCTCAGTTATCAACTGCTAGAACCACCTTGTAGTCTTACATCCCTGCTATACTCACGTCCTATCGGGAAATCCTCAACTTGGTTTCCCCAAACCATCGTCTATTAATCCCACATACATGAACTCGACATTGGGAAGTTTTCCCAGATTCCCAACTCCTGCACTTCTCCATCCATACAACCATTTGGGCTACTTTCCCTTCCTACTCGAAGATTACTAACCCATTTTAATTTTAGCATGCTACCGATCTTGGATACTTGAAGGGTTCTCCCCTACTTTGGTCCTGCTAATCCCTTATAGTTCATATCTTGAAAAGGATTCCCAGTCCTACCTATTATCTGAAGTGTTGATCTGTTATCACCCAATGTTTACCTCTGCTAGTGCTCCAACTAGATTTTACCAAACCTGAACCAATCCTGCCACTAATTAAGCACCTCTCAATCCCCAATTGCTTTTGCTACAGTGACTGCATCCTGAGAACCTATGTTTAAGGTAAACATTTCCACAATACTACTCTATCTTCCATGGCATGCTGATGGGATATAACTCAATTACATGCATGTAATATAATATTCTAACAAATATACTTACTAACATCGATGCAGTACGGTTGGGCGTGTCAAACCCAACAAATAAAGCGTACGAATGACTCCTTAAATACTACTACTATGCAGTAATAATATAATACATGGTAAGTAGGGTCGATCCACAGAGACATGTGACAAATGTTTATACCTTTTTGCTTAAGGTACAAAAATGGTTACATAATGGGGGGAATTTGTGAGCAATGATTTAATCTATAAAATAAAGCAATAAGTAAATGATTGATTTAATGAAGTAGATTCAAGATTTGTAAGGACTCCAAATCCATGCAAGACAAATTAGCAATGTGATTCCAAGGATGAAATGATATTTTTTTAATTCTATCTAAATTGGTATATGGAAATGCTAACAAGATCTAGCACCTCCCATTCACCGCATTGATTAACCAAAATAAGCTCTTTGATTAATCCTAACCTTACCAATGTAATCTAAACAAGCTCTTAGACTTAGACTAAAAGATTGCATTAAACTTTATGTGAATGTTCCCAACAACACTAAATACTCCTCATAAGCTCGGGAGCATAAGAATGTGTGAATAAGATTTACACTAAATTCATTCAATAGAAATCAGTTTAGTGCTTGTTACCTAGTCCAATTTACAAAACAATTACGGATTTTGCAATTAGATAACTTGAATGATCTAACCCTAATTCAAATGGCGAATAAGAATCACAATTAGAATCAAACATTCGATTGAAACAAAATCAAATTCACTAGATAGAAAACTGAAAGAAAACATCAAGTCATATGATTGAAATCACAACTAGAAGTCAAGACATAAAGTTGGAGAATCTAGGGTTCTAGCCACTCATGACTAGAACAAGATCACAAATCTAGAAAATGAAATTAAAGTTCTTACAAAATGAAATCAAATGTTACCAAGTGTTAATCAACTTCAAAATCCTCAAGAAATTCGCCTCCTCCACTCCAAAAGTTGACCCCCATAAGTAAAAAGTCGGTTTCCCCCTTTAAGAATGGTGGAAAACTGCTTTAAAACCCACGTTTACGTTTACACGGCCCGTGTAAATTAACACTGTCATTTACACGGCCCGCGTAAATGCAAAAATATACTGCGCAAAAATCTACGTTTACGCGGCCCGAGTAAACGCAAGTCTTGCATTTACACGACCGTGTAAATCTCTGTAAAGCTAAAATGTTCATTTCTTTGATATCTTGCTCCTCGGTGCTTCGCAAGTCCTGAAATTTTGTCCACAACTTTTATTTACCTCCTCCAACAATATCCTACCTCCAAAAGTCCCTGAAATATCACAAAAGTATTTGAATGAAATTGCCTCATGAAAAATCCCGAAAAACATGCAAAATGCATGAGTTTAAGCCTATATGCAATGTACTTTTATGAAATAAAGCTACAAAATGGGTACATTAAATGCACCTAACAAATATCCCTAAGCTTAAACCTTTCTTGTCCTCAACAAAGAACAAGAAAATTTAAACCAGAGAAAATAAAATAAAAGAGAAGAATAGAAAATCAAAGTTAAACTTTTTTTTTTGAAATTTGATGAATGAAATCAAAACAAACATGAAAAAAAATATATCCAACCCAATTAACCCTGTTTTGTAGCATAGTTTAGAATATACCTATCGTGCCTTGAATCAACTTGGCTTTAGTCTTAAAATATTATATAACAATAGAAATAAGACATTAGCCACTCCCTAATACAACTAAACATAATCAAAGATCACAACAATCTTTTTCTGAAAAATCTTTTCTAAAAATTCCCTAATATTTACCCAAATTGGTTACAAGATTCAAACCACTTACTCCAGTCAAAGTAATTAACATTCAATCCCAAAGTCATAAGTTCAAATCCAAGTCCAAGGGAATCTTTTGGCAGCCAAATATTTTTCCTAAACATAATATTCAATTAATCTATAGACACAACTATATACAAACTTCCTAATTACAGTTTTTTACAAATAAAGCTCATGGATTTCATTGAAATCCGTGTAACGAGCTTCCAACCAACACATCCAAATGAAATGACCTTAGTGTGCTAGATTTAAAAGGATCCCTCGGGTTTACTTGCCCGAACCTCAAATGCCACAGATTAGCTTTATTTGGTTACTAAGTTCATGACTTTCTATGGAACCCGTGTAGCGAATTTTCAACTCAATCAGTCCCAAACAATTTAGCTTTAGGCGATTAGGTGTAAAACACCCCTTAGAGTTTACTTGTTCGAGTCCCAAAGGTCATAGATTAACTTAATAATATTTTTTTTTAATTTTTATTATTATTATTTTTTTATAACACTCTTATTAGTTTATTTGCTAGGCCTATTTCTTTATATTTTTGTCCTTGACTTTTCTATTGTGGGACATCCTACGGTCTATTACCGTGAGGGAGTTCTAGACATTTTTCAAGGGACTAAAGGTCAACATGCAAAGACTCGTAGGTATAGTTGAAATCTGTGTCCCCAAGTAGGGTATATAAAAGGGAATGAGTAGAAAGGACTTTTAAGAGCGCTGGAAGGCGGGACATTGAGATTTTGCATTCTCTTTATGAACTTTTGAATTTGGCATTTTAAGTTCAATTGAGCATTACTACTCATAAGACCGGTCATATGTCCTAAAGAATTAACTCATACTTGCTGTTATGCTCAAATGTTGACAATCTTCTCACTTTCTATTTTGCACAAGTAGCTTCAGGAGGTGTGTTCGTGTGTGATTAACTTGCTTTTAGATTTTTCAATAAAAAGAGCAAGCCAATTTGAAGGCATGTGACTCATTTACCAACTCAACTGTTTTGAAAAGATTCGGTGGCTTGGGATTGGATCTTTTTTTTAGTTATGCAATGAATGCAATGCAAAAATTTAGATGCAAACAAAATGCAAAGAAAATAATAAAAATTATAATAGAAAGAAAATCTGTTTGGTTTTTGAAAATTTTCCATCCAGAAAAAAAATGAAAATTAATGCAATATTTACAAAACTACATGCAACCTACATGCAACAGGATTTATGCATATATGGATGCCCCTCCCTACGCTTAAAGTAAGCATCGTCCTCGATAATTGGAGAGAGACATAGCCGTCCTATTGAGGACCGGGCGGAGGATATAGAGGGAAGTGTGAAGTGTAATCTGTAGGATAATAGGGAGGCCATTGGGGTTGGGATGCTGATGGCTGCTGCGGCTGTGTGGGGAGCACAAGAACTCTATGTATATCGCTCAACAGATAATGAATGTTGCGGTTGTGCTGCTCTTGAGCGGCCCATCTTTGATCCTGTTCAGCCCACCACAACTCTTGTTGGGCCCAATGCTCTTCTTGCAAGTTACGGTAGTCCTGAAAACCAGAAGTGATTTCAGCGACACCCGTATAAATTTCCCCAACTCATGGTTGTAGATTGGTGTAACGATGGTTCAAACGTGAAAATTCGCCCATATACAGATTGTGTTCAGAAAAAAGAATAGGGCAAGATGAGCTAGAGGCACCAGCAGTAGGAGCAGGAGGAGTAGAGGGTGGAGGACTATGATCTACTGTAAAGCCTATGTTGGATCTGAGTTTCCACGTGGTTGATGGAATGTCATTGGCTAAATTGAGTATCTTCTTGTTTCTTCTGTCTATGCGTAGATACTCTTTCCCATCTACTGTCCAATGAACATCCCCAGTGGGAAGGCGGTGGAAGAGATGCATTGTTTCCATAAAATTAATTGATAGACGAGTACGACCCATAACTATGTTTGTTGGGTTATTGGGTAAATAGAGGCCAAGATGCTCAGCAATAATAGAAACCATGTCTCCACAATGCATCTGCCCACCATTGCTCGTAGCACTTATGAGCATTTTCTGAATCACCTAACATCCAAAATGAGGGACTTCTGCAGGCTTGTTGACCTTCTAGCTCTTTCTTATTAGCCTTGCTAATCTCTTATTGTGGGAATAAGAGTGAAGCAATGATCCGGTGGGCGACTTTCAAGACCAGATGGATAATGCTAGAAGCTTTGGCTGTGCCTGACTGGTACTCATACTCACAAGAGATGTTCCTCCAAAAATTTGCACAGTCTTGCTCAAAAATGATATTTTTTCTTCCCTTTGTTGTGTATACATCCCTTCTTGCTTTGGGAGCACCAATCATATCACAATGGATGTCAGCATGAAACTGATGGGTTTGATTGAGCAAACAGAAAGTCAGGAGATGGGTTTGATAGTCAAAGGTGATGGAAGACAAAAGTTCCAACATCGGTGTTTGGTAACTAACTGCATGAAGATTCAAAAGACCCTCCCATCCTATGTTTTTAAAGAGCTTGTGGACACCCTTGTAGATGTGTAAATCTTTGAGGGCTTGGATGTCCACAAATTTTTGAGCACCCATTATTCTTGTAACAAGAGTTGCATACAAGATTTCCTGTCGATTGGTCTAAAAAATAAGACCAAATTCATAAGGGTTGTCCATGGCATGTGGGTCTTGTTCATCATGTGAAGTTCCAACTCTATGTCTTTTACCCCGGGAAGCCATAACCCAAATGAATCAACAAAATATTGCACACAGTTTATGACAATTGAAGCACAAGAACTATCAAGATTCACCAAAAATCACCCAAAAAAGAATATGGTGCTATCTAAATGCACAAAGTAAGAGTTTGGAACAATTGTACCAATTTGTGATTGATAATGGTGGTAAGATGATATCAAATGCTTCCCCAAGCTATCCCCAAGCTTATCCTACAAGAAATTTCAAGCATTAGGTCGAGATTTGAAGTTCAAAAATTCTAGGGTTTTGCTCAAAAACCCCAAAATCGGCCATGAAAAGGGTAGAATAGAGGTGGAAGATAAAGAAGATGAAGAAAAGAGAAGAATTTCATACCTTGGAGCTTGATTTTTGATGCAAAATTGAGGAAGATTGAGTATTTGTAAGGGTTTTTTTGAAGGGGGCAGTAAGGGGAAGAGGGAATCGCAGGTATTGAGAGAACAATGAGTTAAAAAAATCAAATTGTAGCCTTAAAATCAACCAGATCAGTGTTTTACGTTTACACGGCCCGTGTAAAATGAAGATCTTGGGGGGGGGGGGTGTTAACACGACCGTGTAAAATGAAGATCCTGGAATTAGCTACCTGTTCGTTTACACGGCCCGTGTCAATTTTAGGTATACGTTTACACGGCCGTGTAAACTCCTGTAAAGGCCAAATTTTTTTGATTTTTTCACTTTGTGAATTTGCAACCCGCTAAATCTCTACTGCCCGGAAAATGATTTTTTTACCCTCTTTTAGCATGAAAAACAGCTTGGAAGTTTGAAAACAAAGAAAATACAACAAAAATATAAGAAATGACAAAAATACCCCGGGTTGCATCCCGGTTAGCCGCCCCTTTTTAATGTTGTTGGCTCGACTTGGACCCCAACTATTTATCAATATTGATAATTTGGATCCATTACTTCCTCCACTTCTTCATTCTTGACTTGAAATCCTTCGTAATAAGGCTTCAAATTGTGACCATTTACCTTAAAAATCTTCTCGGTTTTCTCACTTGTGATTTCTATTGCACCATGCTCAAAAACATTAATGACAACAAATGGTCCCACCCAACAGGACCTTAATTTACCAGGAATCAATTTAAAACGTGAATGGTAAAGTATTACCTTTTGACCTTTTTGAAATACCTTGCGTGTAATCATCTTGTCATGGAATGCTTTGGTCTTTTCCTTATAAAGAACCTCATTCTCATACGCTTCATTGCGGATTTTCTCAAGTTCTTGTATGTCTAGCTTCCTCTTCTTTCCCGATTCGCTTAAATCTATGTTGAACTGATTAATCGCCCAATAGGCCATATGCTCCAACTCAACGGGTAATCGACACGACTTTCCAAAAACAATACGGTATGGATACGTTCCAATTGGAGTTTTGTATGCAGTGCAACCATATTTCTTCAAAACACTCCCGCGCATACGATTGCAAAAATGTGTACCACGATCACTGAGCAAGGCTTTTGGAACACCAAATCTGGAAAAAATGTTGGCCTTCAAGAAATCTATCACAACTTTTGAATCGTTAGTACGGGTAGCCTTTGCTTCCACCCACTTGGAAACATAGTCCACAGCCAAAAGAATATAAATAAAACCCGAAGATGATGGAAAAGGTCCCATAAAATCAATCCCTCAAACGTCAAAAATTTCACAAACTAATATGGGATTGAGGGGCATTTGATTCTTTGAGCTTAAAGAGCCCATCCGTTGACATTTATCACAGCTTGAACAAAAGACATAAGAGTCATGGAAAATACTTAGCCAGTAAAATCCACTCTCTAAGTCTTTTCTTGCAGTCCTTTAAGGACCAAAGTGTCCTCCACAAGCATAAGAGTGACAAAATGTTAAGATAGAAGGTACCTCATATTTATCCCCACATCGTCTAATCATTTGGTCAGCACAATATTTCCAAAAATATGGCTCATCCCAAACATACCTCTTGGCTTCTTTCTTGATCTTATCTTTTTGCCATCGAGTCAAATCTGGTGGAAATTGATTTGTGAGGATGTAATTCACAATATCGGCATACCATAGGGCAACTTTTGCTGAAAATATGTTCTCGTCGAGAAATGCATCATGAATGAGAGTTGAGTCATTGGGAGAAATAATCCTGCTAAGATGATCAGCTACAAGATTTAACTTTCCGCTCTTGTCTTTGATTTCAGTGTCAAACTGTTGCAAGAGTAATACCCATCGAATGAGTCTAGGCTTCGAGTCCTTCTTTGCAAGTAGATACCTAATAGCTGCATGATCAGAATAAACAATGACTTTAGAACGTAGCAGGTATTGACAAAATTTGTCTAAAGCAAAGACAATAGATAACAATTCTTTTTCAGTTGTTGAATAGTTGGCTTGTGCACTATCAAGTGTTTTTGAGGCATAGTAAATGACATTAGGAACACGGTCTTTTCATTGCCCTAACACTGCACCAACTGCATGATTGCTGGCATCACACATGATTTCAAAAGGCAAACTCCAATCCGGTGATTGAAGTATTGGTGCTGTTATCAACAACTCTTTCAACTGATCAAAAGCTTGCTTGTACTCTCTGGAAAATTCTAATTCTGCATCTTTTCGTAAGAGCTCGCACATGGGATGAGACATCTTGGAAATTTTTTTGATAAACCTTCTATAAAATCCTGCATGACCAAGAAATGAGCGCACCTCACGAACACAAGTGGGATAAGGTAAAGATTTTATGAGATCTATTTTTGCTTTGTCCACTTCTAGACCCTTAGAAGACACAATATGACCTAGTATGAGACCTTTGTCAACCAAAGTGACAACTCAAAAAAAGATTGGTCTCAATACATCTTTGCAAAATCTTTTTCAAATTACCCAAACACTCATGAAAAGAATTACCATAAACTGTGAAGTCGTTCATAAATACTTCAATGATTTCCTCAACAAATTCTGAAAAAAATACTTACCATGCACATTTGAAAAGTGGTTGGAGCATTGCAAAGCCCAAAAGGCATTCGCCTATATGCAAATGTTCTGAAGGGACATGTGAAAGTAGTTTTTTCTTGGTCCTCGGGTGCAACGGGTATTTGATGGAAACCGGAATATCCATCCAAGCAACAATAATGTGTTTTTCCTACTAATCTTTCCAATATTTGATCAATGAAGGGAAGTGGGAAATGATCATTCCGGGTTGAGGAATTGAGTCTTCTATAATCAATGCGAACTCTCCACCCGTTTTGCACACGGTTGGGGACTAACTCACCTTGGTCATTCTTTGTACCGGTAATACCTGTCTTCTTCGGCACAACTTGAACCAGACTTACCCACTTACTATCTGATATAGGGTAAATCATCCCTGCATTCAACAACTTCAAAATCTCCTTTTTCACAACCTCCATTATTGGAGGATTCAAACGCCTTTGAGCTTCTCGAGAAGGCTTGTAATCTTCTTCCATAAGGATTTTATGCATGCAAAGCGAAGGACTTAGCCATTTGATGTCGGCTATAGTCCACCCAATTGCTTCCTTATATTCCTTCAAAGTGGTGACAAATTCTTCCTCTTCTTTTGTTGACAACTTGGTGGAAATGATCACTGGCAAAGTTTCTTTGTCTCTAAGATTTGCGTACTTGATATGCTTGGGTAAAGTTTTGAGCTCCAATTTCGGTGCCTACATAATAGAAGGAACAAGTTTCTCATTAGACATTGGTATTTTCAGCTTTGGAACATCAAACCTCATTTTCTTCTTCTCATTCATGCAAGACACAACCTCCATAATCTCTTTATCAATTGTAAATTGATTGGCAAGTTTTTCCACTCTTTCCTTTTGAAGATTCTTGTCTAAATTAAGAGCTAACACATCCAGATTAGACAAATCAAAACACTCATCTGTCAATGGTTCAATGACATCCATAAAACTCAAAGATGAAATATCACTTGGATATCTCATAGCATCATAAATATTGAAATTTATCACTTCCCCATCAAATTCCATGGACAATGTACCATCATAAACATCAATTTTCGTCCTGGCTATTTTCAAAAAGGGTCTTCCTAGGAGAATTGAACTCAAATTTGGTGAGTCATCATCATCCATGTCAATGACATAAAATCTGCTGGAAACACTAGTTCATTCACTTGGACTAACACATCTTCTAGCACACCTTTGGGATGTACTAAAGATCTATCAACCAATTGAATGATTACCCCGATCTTCTTCAATGTGCCAATATTTAAAGTTTTTAAAAAGGAATATGGCAAAACATTGATAGAATCTCCAATGTCTAGCATAGATCGTGGAACATGAAGATTACCTAATTTGCAAGGAACCGTGAAAACACCCGGATCCTTACATTTTTTAGG